TGTCCGTGAGCCAATCACCGACAATGTAGGCCTTGCCACTCTTCTTCTTCTTGTAGAAGTCCCTCTTTTTGCCATCTCTCTTCTTGTATGGCTTGTTCTTCTTCTTTTCATCTTCATCACTTGAATCATCTTTCTTGCCCTTGTTCTTGAACTTGTCTTTCTTGGGCTTTGTGCATTGATGAGCTAGATGGCCAAGCTCGCCACAATTGTAGCAATCCATCTCGGAGATTGGCTTTCTTCTTGAGCTTGTGAAGAACTTCTTCTTCTTGCCATCAAACTTGATGCCACTCTTATTTAGCCTTTTTAGCATCTTGGTGGTCTTCTTCACCATGAGGGCAAGGCTTTCTTCATCATCTTCATCACTTGAGCTCTCATACTCAAGTTTTGCTTTGCCCTTGTCTTGGCTAGCTTTGAATGCTAAGTCCTTCTCTTTCTTCTTTGTAGAGGATGAGCCATCTTGTGGTGTGATGTGCATGTACATCTCATGAGCATTGATCTTTCCCAAGATTTGTGTCGGTGTAGCGGCGGAAAGATCACCTTGATGTAGCACGGTCACAATGTGCCCATATTTGTCAATGGGAGGACACTCAAGATTCTTCTCACAACGTCGGATGGTGACATTTGAGTAAGTCCAAGCCCATTGACTTCCTCTACAAGAACATTTAATCGAGAATACATCTCATTAGCACTTTCTTTGGGAAACATCTCAAAAGAATTTAGCTTTTTAATCACAAGATGATAGCGTTCCTCACGCTCACTCTTGGTTCCCTCATGGAGCGCACAAACGTCCGACCATAGAGCATGGGCGTCTTTGTGGTTCCTTACGATTGAACACCTCTTTGCAAAGGCCTCTAAAAATGGTGTTGCGAGCCTTTGCATTCCATTTTCATAATTTACTTCATCGCCTTTGAAGTTGTGCGGCATTCCTAGGTGCAGGGGAACCCTTGAGAGGCGGCTCTAAGAATTCCAACATCTAGAGCTTCTAAGTATGCCTCCATGCGGATTTTCCAATATGGAAAATCATCTCCCTCAAAGATAGGAGGAGGTCCATCCCGTGAGACATCTTGCTCTAAGCGATTAAGCTTAAAAACGTGAGCACGAGGCTCGATACCAATTGAAAGGATCAAGATGCCCAAGAGGGGGGTGAATTGGGCTAATTCAAATTCTCTTGCAATAAACAAATCCTACGGATAGCCCAATTAACCCCTTGTGCCTAGAAAAGTGTTTCTATCAAACTAAAGCACAACGAACTCACCACCTATGTTCCAACCTTACTCAAGCAAGCAATTCTATGGATGTAAAACAAGTATTGAATTGCTCAAAGTAAATAGGAGAGAAAGGAACGCGGCGATGTTTTGCCGAGGTATCAAGAGTCGCCACTCTCCACTAGTCCTCGTTGGAGCACCAGCATGAGGATGTAGCTCCCCTTGATCCGCGCAAGGATCAAGTGCTCTCTATGGGTTGATTCTTCGACACTCCGTCGCGGCGAATCACCCAAAGCCGCTCACAACTTGAGTTGGGTCACCCACAAGCTCCGCCGGTGAACACCAAACTCCCAATCACCACCAAGCCGTCTAGGTGATGGCGATCACCAAGAGTAACAAGCACGAACTCTCACTTGACCACGCCGGGCCTAATGAGAAGATGGATGCACACTTTGCTACTCTTGATTTGCTAGTGAGGCTACTCTCTTGGATTCTCAAATCACAAACACCTCTCTAGGACCTTGCTCTTCTTGGCACTCACAAACGTGTTTCTCACCTTGTTGGAATGAGCAAAAGTACCTCCACTCACGAGTGGAGCTTCTATTTATAAGGCGACTGAAAAACTAACCGTTATGAGAGCTTACCTCGCGGACGACCGGGACGCTTCCGATCGTGATGACCGGACGCCCGGTCAGTTCAACCCATGAACCAACATTCAAGTGATGACCGGACGCCGACAGGTCCGGTCGAGACCGACCGGACGCGTCGTCCGGTCGCTTCTTGATGCTTATCAGAAACGACCGGACGCCGGATACTCGTGGTCCGGTCATATTGACCGGACGCGTCCGGTCACTCTTTTTCCAAGTCTCGACCCTTCTTTGAGTCGACCGGACGCTAGCCCTCGTTGTCCGGTCACACGACCTTCCAGCGTCCGGTCTGTGAACAGACTTAACCACCTCGATCAAACGAATCGGCCGGACCTCGCGGCCAGTCGTCCGGTCAAGACCGAGCTGTCGTCCGGTCGGTGTTTGACCCTCCATTCACTTCTAACTTTCGAACATATGTGAATGAAGTTTGCTCCAAAGGATCTTAGGCATTCATAGGAGCTACCTAGAGCTAGTTTTAACAAGTGTGCACCACACCTAACTCACTAGACTCAACTAGGTCAAGCTACCCGTTCATACCCCCCTTTATAGTAATGCGCCCAAGGAAAAAACAAAGTCCTAAACTACTCTAAATGTCTCTCCAACTCCAATCGACACTTAGAACTAGTTATCCTTAACCTTGTCGTCCATCCTTTGAAAACCGAAACGATTTCCATCGTAGGGGCATGACAACCTCGATTGCCCAATCGATCTCCATTACCATGACCTAACTTAGTTGCCTCTGCAAAACACACGTTAGTCATAGTAATCTTGTATTGACATTAATCACCGAAATCCAACTAGGGGCCTAGATGCTTTCACAGTGATAATTAACACTTAACATGATATCTTCACTAAACAATAATAAGTTATTAGCCAATAAATAATAGCATCTAGCAAATTTCTTAATTTAAAAATTAGAACATCAAACAACCATATCACAAAAAAAGAGTTCTCAACTAACAAACTTTTTTAAATACCGAATTCTTTAGTCTAGGAAGAGAAACTTTCGGATATCCTATTTTGAACATCGGATAACCCATATAGAATTTGCGAATAATCTATATCCGCCAGATTTTACTTATTCTATATCCTACCCTGTATCCGCAGATAATCGGATTCGGATTATCCGTATCCGCACGGATATTAAAAATTCTTTTCCTTATCCTCAAAATTCATATTCGGATCGGATCGGTTCAAAGAATTATTCACACCACTTTCACCCTCTACTGAGCGCAACGCTCACCCGCCCGCCACTCCGCCGGGCATGGGCTTGTCGGAGGTAGAGGAGACGATCGACTGATCGAGCGCGTGGCGGCATGGTTAGCGTTTGGTTCGCTGTCTTGTGAACCTACGGCACGGTGGGCGTCCAGTCGCCGTCGCAAGTGGCAACCACGCGTGCACGAGCACCTTTGGCCTTTGGCATGGGTCGCGCCTGAACCGGACCGGAGGCAGAGTGCTGGTGCATGCACCCGCGAGAACCGAGAGCAGAAGCAGACGATCAAACCAGCTTCTATGCAAAATGGCTCTGATTCTTTTTTTCCGTTGGTGCAGAAGTGCTTTTCCACCTCTAGTCCTTTGGTACTGCTCCTCTAGCTCCGATGTTGGAATAAAAAACCGGCTTCATCCATTACGACTAAGAGAACCAAAACCAATTATCACATCAATTTAGATCAAAACTATATATATCCACCTTAAAACTCAATTCAAGCATTATTCTTTGAGTAAAGTGTAATAGCATTGATAATTACCAGTCCACGTGAAATCCCAGCGATTCCTAGTCAAAGGGAAAACAGTTTTTTTTTTTTTCGAAAAAGGGAAAACAATTTAACTTAACATAGATCCAATAAATATATAGTGACATAAACAGTGTATTAATTAATAATAAATCTCCTAGGAATCCATAACCGAAAGGAGCTCTCTTAGAGCAAAGGAGTCTCCATCCCATAAAAAGAGTCATTCTCGTTTCTAAAAAATCAACTATAATTAAGTTTGACCAAATATATATAACAAAATATTAATACTTATGATACAAATTAATATCATTAGATATATTTTTATACTAAACTTATTTAGAGATACAAATATTATAAATATTTTCTACAATATAGTTAAACATAAAAAAGTTTGATCAGCACGAATCCAATAACAATTCTTTTTATGGGATATAGGGATGTTTGATCCTTGGGCTAAAGTTTAGTCATTGTCACATCGAATGTTCGAAGGCTAATTAGGAGGACTAGACATAAGCTAATTATAAAACTAATTGTAGAAGCCTTGGACTAATTTGCGAGACGAATCTATTAAGCATAAGCAAATATTTATTGTAGCACCACATGGTCAAATCATGGACTAATTAGATTTAATAGATTCGTTTCCTAAATTAGCCTTTATCTGTATAATTAGTTTTGTAATTAGTCTATATTTAATATTCTTAATTAGTATCAAATATTCGGACTAAACTTTAGCTAAAAAAAAACATAGCTACCTGAGTCCTCGGAATTTGGACGCGAATCCCCGAATTTACATGCGAATCGAGGGTGTCTCACCTGTCTGGCTGATGATGACCTGCCTACACGCTCACCAGGAAAAATACTTGATCGATCTTGAGCTTATCGGCTTATCAGCTAATCTATAATATTTTTTTATAATAAAATAGTTTCAATCGATTTATCCGTCGGCTTATGTATCAGCCGAAGAAGGCTCCTAGCCTGTCGAGGTGTCGTCCTGCATCCACCAAGGTGCACCACACCTAGACCTGGAACACCACCGAAAGGTACGTAGTCCTCGGTCTTAATATCCAGCCGCTGGTACTGCTACACTAGCATTTGATCTGCACACATTGCATCCGGCCTTCCAAATCTTCCTCGCCTGTCCTCCTCCCGACTAGAGCAATCCCAGGTCAATCTCTGCAGCCGCATCAGTATCCATCCTCGGCCACCGCGCCACTCGAATCAAGATCGCCTTCGCTTGATTCCAACAAGCCAGCCATTACAGGCGAGGCAAGCAAGAATCAGCTTCTATATGTGCCGCCGCCTCCCAGCTCCAGCACTTCAGTTTCAGTCTCGGGGTTGCAGTTGCAGTTGCAGTCGGCGGCAGCGAGGCGAGCGAGGTGACCAAGCCGGCCGGCCGAGCGAGCGAGAGTCCGTGCATGGCGGCGGAGAGGAAGGCGGGCTCCCGCTGGCCCGCCGGCGGCAGCGGCGGGCGAATGCGCGGCGCCGAGGGTGGCATTGGCAAGCTGCGGGGCCGTCAGGCAAAGGCGGCAAGGCCCGTACTGGCGGCGCCTGCGGGCCAGGGGTACTTCACGGCGGGGCTGGCGGCGCTGTTCCTCTGCCTCACCGCGCTGCTGGTGTTCCTGCCGCTCGTGCTGCCCCCGCTGCCGCCGCCGCCGTTGCTGCTGCTGCTCGTGCCGGTGGGCCTCATGGCCGTACTGCTGGCGCTGGCGCTCGTGCCGTCCGACGGCCGGGGCGCCGTCGCGTCGTCGTGCGTGTGCTGAAGGCGGCGGCCGACGCGTCGCACGTGCGCTAGACACGCGGAGAGTGTGTACTGTAAAAATGTGGGGGTTTAACATTTTCTCTCTTTTTTAATTTTTTGTTATTTGTTATTTTGATATAAGGAATAGCAACTTTCTCCTTTTTTTTCCCCCTTTGGTTCGAAATGATCCTTCAGCTGTTAATCCTGAGGCAGTCTCGCGGTTTTCATTGCTCCAAGATGAAACGGTAGTATCCTCTCTCAAAAAAAAATTCACGCCACGTCTCTGAAACGCTCGGTCCCTGGACTGCTAGCCGGCGTGCGGCGTGCCACGTCGCGACTCACCTGCTCTGCCTTGTGTTTTTTTTTTCAATTCTCCTTTCTGACTTTTCTTTTCTTTTTCTTCTTCTCTACACTGTCACCTATTACTGCTCCCGGTTGCTACTCTGTGCTAAACCGCTACAACTAGTGTCCCATGCCCAGCTGTTTAGGAGAGCGGTCAAATAAAGTAAAACCACAGTTAAAATAAGCTACTCTAACCTAGCTCCTGTGTTTTAGTACAGATAGGTAATGTGGGGAGAACTGTGGCTAAAAATCTATAAAAAAAATGCATCATCTGGCTAAGCAGCTTATAAGTTATAAGTTATACCAAACTGACCTATCTGATTTATAGCACCCACCGCTTATTTTTCTTTAATAAGTATATAAAGTGTGTCTTAAATTTTTATGAAAAGTTTTAAGAAAATAAGAAGTTTTAGAAAAAAGCAACTATTTGAATAAGGTGCCTAGTGGTTGTAAGAGCTTTAGTAGGTCTAACTCCATATCAAAATGTTGTGGATTTTTTGGGCGTGCAAGGCTGAAATCTTCTACCTTAATAGCAAGGTTTTAGAAGTAGTTTTTCACAATATTTTGTCACAACAGAAAAAAAAACAGCCGTGAAGACGTAAGGCCACTTCTTAGGTCGCACCGCTGCATCGGTTTTGGATGCTTTCCATTTATGTAATATCGAAACTAGAGGTATTTTGCTATGATGGTCCAACTACGGCTTTTTTAGGTCGACCTCCTTCGGCATTCAATAGAAGCGTGTTGTCTGTATGTTTAAACTCTTCTTTCTTAATGCAATAATACACAAATCTTTTGCGTATTCGAAAAAAAACAACAGAAAAAACCAGCATGAAAGTATCTATCCTTACTGTGCACTCTTTTTTTCTAACCCAAGAATATTTCACCGATCAAATGAAGTATTGAGATGATTTTCTGGGATATGGCCGCGCAGTCTCCTCAAATCTGATGGCCCTGGATGTTGGATCATCAAACTCCTTCCAACTCACTTATGTTATTACTGTGTTGACCACATGTTGATTACAATTTCCAAATCATGCTTGGGTGCCACTCAATGCATTAATTATCTTCCAAATTAGTTATTCTTTGTTATTTTCTTATAATTAATATTACTTTCCTGATCACCTCTCTATCACCACTATTACTTGACTTTTATTATGTTTCTTGCAGAGTGCCACATTGCTTGAAAGATCTATTAGATTTCAGGACGGAGGGAGTACAATATAAGATAACGTAATTTTTTGATGGAAATATCAGTAAATTTTGTAAACCATAGCGTTAGAAATCGGCAATATACTGGTGAGTAAGTGTAAGGCTTGCCCCTCCTAGCACCATCGGCTATGTGGGAACAAAATGCTTTTCTGTATTGACCTGGGCAGGGCTCACCACTAGCATCACTTTCATAGGAATAACTAGAATAACTTTATTTTAGGCAAGGAGGGAGTAATTGCATACTCAGTGGCATCAATTAAGAAGTTAGGTCTCGCAAAAAAAATATTAAGAAGTTAGGTGACTCAAAACCAGAGCCCATTGTCTTAGTAGGGTGAAATTAGAAGTGTACTAGATGCTTGTTTCAAAAAAGAAAGAAAGAAACTGTAGGTGCCACATATGTGGAGTCTACCAAGGCATCGATCCTGCGCACCTACGTTAGTCACCCAGATCTTAATCCAAATAATGCAAAACGGATCAAGATGCATCCCTCCAATTTTTTTGAGGCATGCAACACATGAACACTAGAATATAAACAATTTATTTATGGCATATAGATACACATTCCCTCCGTCCTGAAATATTTTTCAATTGTCCTAAATTAAATCATCATAAGTACACCATGTTTGTAGAAGAGAACAATAATATTTTCAATACCAAATGAGCTTCATTAAATATATGACGAAATATATCTTCATAGTTTACCTGCAAACATAATTGATAACATCTCAGTTTTCATTATTCTTGATCCAAGATCAAATTCAAACAATATTTAGATGTGTTGTATAATAATATAAGCTTAGTTGCATACTCGGAGTGTGAGGCGGCATCGATTAAGAAGTTTGGTGGTTCAAAGTTAGAATTTATGGTCCGAGGAGGGGGGAAGTGTAAATTCCACATATGCATATTGTTCAAATGCATCGCTCCCGCGCTCACGTTAGCCATCTTGATCTTAATCCAACGGCGCTAAATAGACCAAGATGGCGCGAACCTACCTCTCGCAGTTTGAATTAAGCGAGAGATGAATACAAAGAGGTAAATCATTTCATGACCCAAACACATGCATAAGGAAATTGATAACACTTCCAATTCTTATCATTATTCTTATCCTCCAAGATTAGATTTGTTGGCCCTTGAATGCCTTTCAAAAAGATATATTTTAAGAAATACATGAAGACTAGTTTCAAGGAATCCAAAAATTATGCAAACCTAGCTCATAGACCTAGAGCCTCCGCTGCCTCAAATGCCTCAAAATCGAACTCCTCGTCATCGTCCTCCTCCTCCCAGTCCTTGTTGTCCTCATCTTCCTCCTCCCTCTTCCTTGGCTGCTACTGGTACTGCTACTGCTACAGCAGGAGGAGGAGGAGCAGGTGTAGCAGCAGAAGGAGGAGGAGCAGATGATGCAGCAGCAGGACGAGCAGGGGGCTCTGATGCCCCTTCTACGGTCACAACCCCAATCTCAATCTCAAGAGGGCCTACCTCCATTACATGGGGATGTGTTCGTTTGGGAAGGCCAACACAAACGGGGCACTTGCGCATCACATAGCCTTCAAAGTCATAGCCAGTGCGCATAAACGCCTTGTCCCCGACACAGTACTTGGCAAAGAGCACGGATCCAGCCGTGATCGCCACAATGAAAATCATGACCCCGATGAAAGGACCATTGCCGACATCGTGGATCCACTCCCTTGGCGACATGCTCGTTCACCAGGAGGATCCCTACCTACAGCCCTTCCCTACACAAGGTACACGCCCGTCCCCTCTCTCTCTCTCTCTCTCTCTCTCTGCACTGTATCTTCTTTTCTGGGTGTTTTGGTCCAGCCTCCATCTATGGTTGGATTAATAGGAGGGAACAGGGTAAAATGGGAATTGCGAGTGATATTTGGGTTGCAATGCAAGTTTGCCTAGTACCCTATTACGTGGAAAGTAATTAACCGGCGAGGGTGTCACTGAGATTTTCCCCCGTATGTGGACAAATACGGTTGAGATGGTCACATGAGCCTTGCAACTCCAACTCTGCAAGCGGTCATGTACCGCTCAGGTGTGACACTTGTGCGTGCTACTGGATGCCGTTGCTAATGCCATGCCATGCCACCCCTCCACCCCTGGTTTTGCTGGACCGTTACCGGATTTCCCTGGTTGGTTCTTGCTCGTCATCAAGGCCCAGTAGCGCGTGAAGCGGCTGCTGGGCTCACTGGGCCGGTCACGCCGCTTCCGTTTCTCCATCGCCTAGACAACAAGATCAAGACGCAGATTCCTCTGGAAATTCAGCAAACGCAAATCTGGCCAGACTGGTGCTTGGAATTTCGAAAGTTCTAATTTTTTTTTTCTATCTAGGGGAAATCAATGTTCAACTCGTGATCGTATTCTATTCTATCTAAGAGATATGGGTATGGCACTTAAAAGATACGACACGAATATGAATTGCTTGTTCGGCGCAGCTTCACGCAAGCCTAATGAGAGAAAAGCAAATGAGAAGGGAGTGGAGGTTTTGGAACTTCCTCCAGAAAGGGCCAAAGTAAGTTGCTTACTGCTATATACTGGTAACGCTTGGCGTTTTGAGTCTGGGAGAAATCTCTACCAGTGTTGCACAGCCAGAAGAAATCGTTGTTTATTCATACGCGGTCGAGAACTCGAGATCGGTGTGCCCACCGCCCAGTGGAAACATACTGCAAATTAAATCAAGCTGTTTGTTGTGCAAACTTTGCCAGGCTGGGTGCAAGGTTTTGGCAGGAACGCTTGATTTTTTTTTAAAAAAGGACGGTAAAAACTTTGTCGTGATGTTTATTAGACAGGAAAAAACAAAAAAGAGGTTTTAGTACAACACGGCTACTGGACTAAACGCTTCAGCCGGGGTCAAAGGAAGCAGGAACGCTTGAATTCGAATCAAAGAAACCTGAACAAAAGTTGCCATCTTTAACAATGAGTACTACTGAGTAGTACTTAACAACTGAGAAGAATCACGAAAAGATCACCGCTACCAGCTGCTTTCATCAAGAACGTGAAATCAAACCGAAATAAAAGGGCACTAGTTTGCATATACAATCTCGAGTTCTCCAATTCCAACACAATTAATAACACACCTATATGCTGTATACGTAATCGTAAACTTGACGAACTTGCTACGCTCATGAACAATCCTAACGTATGCCTCCGCCCAGCGCCGCCCCCGCGTGCACTGCACGCGCGCGCCCGATTGAGGCGGCGATCAGGCGGCGCCGATGCAGGCGAAGGCGCGGACGCTCCTGGCCTTGGGCAGCGGCACCCGGATGAGCCGCCGGTCGGGCGAGAGCCCCACCTCGCCCGCCAGCTCCTCCAGCGACAGGTTCCGCCGGTGCAGCAGCGACGACCCCTCGGCCGCCGCCGACGCCGTCGTCGCCGCGTGGACCGGGGACCGCAGCTCCTGCTGCAGCCACCGCCTCCTCTGCTCGGGGTCGTCCAGGTCCACGGGCGCCGAGGAGGGGAGCGCACCTCCGGTGCGGTAGGCACGGCCGCCGGCGCCGGCGTTGCTCCGACGGTCCTTGATGGCCTTGTAGAGCAGCGGGATGAGGCCTTCCATCACCGAATCGCGACGTGTGGGGTGAACGGGGTTGGTGGGAAATGGTTGTGTTCGGTCACTACTCACGACTTTTTGGTCTCGGTCCAGGGGAGTTTGGTTTGGTTGGCTCGGACGTTGGAGCTTCTACTTCTATGCAACACTCCTTTTATTCTATATAAAGTAAAGAACATTTAAATGATTTCCTGCCACAATGGCTTCGGGTTGTCGCTCTGCCCCGCCACTGCGATCCCGCCCGCGCCCCCGCACGGACGCACCGCACCTCGGGCGGCCGGGGTTCGATTCCTATGCCCCGCGCCCTATTTTCTTTTCTTCTGGAAAAAAACATCGGACTACCTGCTGACCGCATCTCCGCCCGTGGGGGAGGACATGGCCTCACACGGGAGGAGCTCGCGACGGTGTTGTGGCCATGGAGGATGAGGAGCCCGTAGACTCGGTCTGCCTGCGTGCGATCCGCTCGTCGCTCGCTCGCCCACCCATTCACGCGCGGCGCTCCCTCACTCGCCCCCGGCCCTTCCCTACGAGATCTCGCCCCCAATCACGCTCCCTCGTGCCGCTTGCCGTGCGTGCCCGGGCGCCTCACCCCGCGCTCGCCCACGCCGCCGCGCCGCGCGTCCCCCGTTTCCATCGCGTCCACGCGCTCGCAGCCGCAATCGACTCGACCCGACCAAGTTCCCCATCGCCGCCGCCGTACACCGGAGCTCTAGCTCGCTGCGTGGGGAACGTATGTTTCTACTTCGTTGAAGAGTACAAGTGGTCTCCTAGAGTTCCGCCTCAACTGCGCAGGGGAAGGGAGGTTCCCAACGCATCCCCGCCGTGCTCAATGCCACCGTTCCCATCCTATACCGGACAAACCTTCCAGCCGCCAGCCGCTGTCCTCTCTCTCGGTCCAGTGGGGGCTGTTATCTTCCAGGTGAGAGCTGTTCCTTCGCGTGCTAGCGATTCTGGCTTCCCTGCATGATGGATTTCGTCATTCTAAGAAAGATTATTTTTTTTGGTTCTCATCGGACTCAATTCCTTAAATTAGTTGGGTATCTATATGTTGTTTGGTGGTGTTAACCTAATCTCAAAGTCCTATCCATTCATGGCTCAATTAGGGTGGGGTGATTGATATTTATTTATTTATTTAAAAAAAGGTCGTGGTTCAACCATTCAATAGAATCCTCACCACCCAAGTGACATTCGCTGCTGCACTGGGATGTCCAAATTTCTTCACGTGTTAGGTGCCGATCTACTGAGTCACCGGTTTGCATTTTCACATGGATTGAAAAAAATCTGGTTGTACAATTCCAATATACTATTAACAATAATGTACAACTCTTTGTTTTTCAGCAGGCAGTAGATAGTGTGTGGCAGTGCCGTTTTTGTCAGTGAGGGAAGTTTGCTGTTTCAGTCACTGCTTTATGTGTGCAAGTTTCCTGTGTACTTGTGTAGGCGATGTTTGTTTTGATTTTTTTTTGGTAACAGACATATCTTCAATTGTGTCCCTGTTCCGTTAAGTCAGCAGAGGAACTACACTTAGTTAGCTGAAATTAAGAATGAAAATCTTGAAGGGATTCTTAGGAAGGGGACTCTTGGTTGTGCTGAAAATCTAGACTTTTGAGTTTTGATGTACCTGAGAAAGCAAATTGTTCCTAAGCATACAAACTTATAACTGGCGATACATCAAAATCACATGTCAAAATATTGATGCTGGGTAAAGTTTCAGTCCATGTTCTGCAATTTCTAGGAAACGAGCCATAGGTCCAAATTGAACCATTGCTAACAAAGGTGTTGGATAAATTGACAGTGTTAAATTGATAGGCATTTTATTTCTCTATGGATTTAATTGTTCTTGTGTTGAATAAAACAAATCAAGTGTGAGGAAAAAGAAATTGAACTTCATTCGGTTTCATATCGGAAGAGTAACGACTAACTAATTTGCAAAATATTATTAGAGAATATAACATCCATGTGGACTATCAAATTAGATTCTTCACTGCATATCTTCTTGAGTAGGCCTACCGACAGAGCGTGTCTGTGCTGCAGGGTTGGAGAGGGTGGCTGAGCTGAAGGGCTGGAGAGGGACACTAATAGCACCAGCACGCATGACAACCATGGCAACGGTAGTGGCTAAGGTAGGCCTATGGATCAACTTTTTCCTACCTGACAATATCTTTAAGTAGCTGATTGCTGAGCTTTCTTTCTTTGATAAGCTTTTAAGCGGATGATGTTCTTCTGTTTTATCTAGGACAACTCAAGACATGTACTAACTCATTAACTATAATTTAAATGTCCAAAAGTTAGTTAATTGGCAAATGTATATGCATCATGTTAACGTAGGTAATATCCATAGGTCAAAATAAAACCCATGCTTCAAAATTCTGAGCAGCTATTTATTTGATCCAAACTAAATAGTACAAATATCAAATATAAAATAAAAGGTTTTGGTATACCCCACCTGAGTTTGCCAATTACAGTTCCCTGTAACGTTGTTCAGGAAATGTCTGTGCGTTGTATTAGGAAGTGGTACATTTCATTAATCCATCTCACCATTTGAATAGTAAGTGGAGTATTGCTTCCAATTGGCTAATATGTGTTGGATTTCTTGTTGCAGTGCTCGGATGCTGGTGAACCTGCAGGTGTCCTGGGTCATTTTGGGAACATTTTGAGCTCAGAGCTCTGTTGGTTGAATCCCCTGACGTGAGTACCTTTAAAGTTGCTATTAATTTATTTTAGCTGACCTGATTTGATTAATCTTCTCTTTGGCGACAACGACTGGGAAGGCGTGGAGAGCACCGAGGATGGTGGCCGCCTCCTCCGCCTTCATCGCGGCCTAGGGTTTAGTTCAGTGTCGCCTCCGCCTTTGTCGAGGAGACGCAGTTGCCCCTCTACAGCCTCTACAAGATCGCCACCGAGGGGCCCTGCAACGCGCCGCAGCCATCCGCGCTCAAGCTCAAGGCCCGTGCCAAATGGTAGATTCCAGCCCATCCCCTCTTTCTCATTCTAGATACTGCTAGATTCTATTAACTATTGGGCTTTTAGAATTTGATTTACTCTGAATGATACTGATGAGGTACTTATCCTAGCTATCCGTTGTCTGGTATAGTTTGGCAACAAATGTAGAGGGCGTTGGATAGTTGATTGTTAGGAAAGCCAGTAGAAGCAGAGTCACCTGATGGAGGGATAGGAGGTGCAGCTGGCACTGTGAATAGCATTCGTCCAGCCTTGTGATGGCGATGGGAGACTAGAGCTGAACTGTCATCGAGAGCATGTGTCTTGGTAGGTTCAAAAGGTTGCTTTGTGATGTTAGAAATGACTTTGAGGTGGCGACAGTCATCACTATTGTTACTGACCAATAATGAAAACCTTGAGATTTTATGCCTCTTGCAACGTGCATGCACTGCGACATGAGGAACATTGCATTCAGGAAACCAAACGATACACATGAACTGGGGATGCAAATCGGGAAAGACCCAGGGTAACCCAATAAACAACACCCCAAGTGGCACACGACACACAAAGACATTAGCACACGTTGAAGGCCGAGCATTATCTATAATTGTTTTTGTTTGTATGTTTGCAGTACTGTTTAAGCTGCTAGAACGTTACTGAGGCCAGGTTTTCTGATAACTGCAGGATCCAGCAACCAATCTTCCTTTGTGGCATGTGCGAGAGGAGCCACCTTTATTACTGTAAGCATCATGCCTTTGATGATAAATATGCAGCCTATGCTTTATATGAGAATAATCAAGTTAATACACCCTCATACTCTATATTCTGTGAGCTACTGCACTGACAACGTGAAAATTAGGAAATAAAATATTGTGATGGATTGATGGTAACTAATTGTACAATGGTAAGCAACCCTTTATTAGTCTATACTAGATACTAGATAAATGATTATCAGTTATATTTTTCCAGGTTGGTTTCAGCAAAGAAATTGTTGAGTGCCCAGGTGAGCTCGGGTGGCCCCCACAGGTTAGATGTTTATATTTTTTCTTCATGTACCTAATTCCACTAATACTTTACATAACATCATGGTAGGATATTGGCCGTTCAATGCTCATGCTTGTGTCTTTTGGTTTCTTCCTATGGCCTGCCAATTTTCTTGTGACAAATGCATGGGGTTGTCTAGAAATATCAATTCTTATTTTTGGGGTGTGTTGTGTGCAAACCGTTCTTCCCTAGACACTTCCTCATAAACAATGTTTATTTGTCAAGATCTATATTTGTAGGATTAAGTTCCATTGGTAGGTGTGCTTCTCATCATTTTGGTCTTAGGCCATTTAATTTAGAAGACTTTAATGGGTATCCTACAGAAAATATTAAGTACATGGTTGTTGAGATTCATTAAAGATTTTCATAAATACATAATGCACTCTCATAGCTATTTAAGGTTTGGGACTTTTGTAATCTATAAGTTGTCTGTCTATACTTGCAGATCTAATTTTCTATTGAACTTCAGAGGATATTTAAGGGACCTTAATCTTTGAACCAGAAAATAATCTTATAATTAAAGTTTTAGCTTTACTACATAGTATTTATATTTGAGACCCTACAATGAAAGCTCTTAATCATGAACAATTTATTTACTTAAATTGTGAAAAGCTCTCTGTACTCTTTTGTACATTCCTGAATATGTAAATCAATTCTAACCTATTGGTGGTTTTTTGTTGCCTGGACCTCCTGATTCATAATGCTGCCAAACATATATATTTATTGTATCTTGAGCTAAGCACTTCTCTTTCTTATTAATCACGTGTCTTATAAGGGATCTGTTGACAAATGTATTCTTTTAGTTAGTGGCATGTCATTGCTTGGAAAATTACACTTGATTTGTGGCAACCTATTCAATCAAAATATTACATTTCATTTTATGTTTCTTCTAAGACCAAAATTAAGTGAATCTATTTTACTGCCTGAAGATACTACTAAACTTCTCCTATGGCTTTGATATGGTTCCTATAGTAGTGTTAGGTGCATAATAGTGGATATGATTTTCAGCCCTCACCGTGCATTTT